GTGTCCTGAGATCATCAGAGAATGAACTCACACAAACTTAATGGTATTCCCACTCCACGTACAGTGTACACAACTGCACACTGTACTTTGATATAAGTGTTAGTTTTGTGGGTTTGTTTACACCATAATTTCCACAAAGATGTGAATGATGAATTGTCCTACAATCTTAAAGGATTTGTAAGAATCTCTCAGATTTGTCTTTTCTGGGCTAGTTTCCAGAGAGATCCTTATATCTCACCTTCCTGAGTAGCTAGGATCATAGACATGAGCTGCTAGTGCCTGGGTAAAGATACTAAAGCAAATAAGCATAAAACAATTTCCCTTAAAGTTACAGCATCTTAGAATCTGTTCCTTGTGAATGCTTTCAGGTCTATTTAATGCAGTTTATTTCTTGACATGGGACTATTACTATGTTCAACCATGTGCTTCTTAATGACAGGTTATTTTGTTGTTCTTGATGGCACTCATTTCTGTAGCAGACGTCTTTTTTCAGTATGTTTTCTGTACATATGAATGCATATGTAATTTTGGTTCCTAGAAATAGCATTATCAAATTGAAGGATAAGTGAAATTTTAAATATTTACATTTACTGTTGCATTGGTTCACTTTTTTTTTGTCTGCCGTAGGGCTTGAACTCTGGGCCTGGGAGCTGTACCTCTGCTCTTCAGCTCAAGGCTATCACTCTATCACTCTATCACTCTATCACAGCACCAGTTCCGGTTTCCTGGTGGTTAACTGGAGATAAGAGTCTCACAGAGCTTCCTGCCCGGGCTGGCTTTGAACTGTGATCCTCAGATCTCAGCCTCCTGAGTAGCTAGGATTACAGGCATGAGCCACTAACACCCAGCTTTGGTTCACCCTGTGTCCCTCCCACCATGTCTATGATTACCCTTCCCTTCCCCAAATCAGATAAACTTACATACAAGACAAAGAGTACAGAAAGCACAAACAGTGACAACAGGGAATAAAGCAAAGGGAGTGAAGAAGAAAGAACTGCAAACAGTACACTTAAAAAAAAAAAGCACTTACCATTTCATGGAGTTCATTTTGATAAGCATTATTTTCTATGATCATTCGCAGAGCTATTAGTTGTACTCACTAGACACTATGTTGGAAATGAAATTTACAACTTGAGGGGGAAAGTGGGGGGGAGGAAGCAGAAGAAAATGAGGGAGGGGGTAACATTGTTCAAAAAGAAATGTATCCATTACCTTACTTATGTAACTATAACCCCTGTATATGTCACCTTTACAACAAAATTAAACATATATATGTGTATATATATATGTATATATATTCACAAGCCATTTCCCCAGTTAGTATGGTAGAATTAAAAAAATCAAAAACATACTAGGCAGCACTAAAAATTACCAGTATTGTTATTTTCTCTCAATATGTTTATAAAAATATTGTTTCACTTGGTATTTTAGTTTTCCTTCTGTAAAATTATAATGTTTTCTTTAACTTTCAAGGAAAAGAAAGTATTAGTTTGTTTCCTATTAGGTCTCTTTTTGCCTTTGCTAGTTGTAGGCTAGTTGTCTTAATATTTGTATATTCCTACTTTTACCATTTTCATTCCATTTATCAACTTCCCCATACATATTTTCATGATATATCTACTTGTGATTTTTTTATAAGTTTTTCTTCATCCAGGAAATTCTCAGTTTTCTCTTCATTCTGGAAAGATATTTTCACTGGTTACTAGACTCTAGCAAGGAAGTTTCTTTTTTCTCTCAGTACATGAAAAAAATTGTGCCATTTCTCTCTGCTCTGAATGCTTTCTGATAAAAAATAAATAAAAGCCTATCATTTCAAGTATTATATCTTTGTAAGTATAATGTTATTATTCTCACAATACTTTCAAGATTTGCATTTAGTTCTGTGTTATATTTCACCATAGAAATCTCTTTGACATTATCTTGTTTACAGACTTGGCTCTATAGGTTTGTGCCATTTACAAAATTTATTAAAAAAACTTTACCCATTATTTTCTCCAATTTTTTAGCTCCATATATCTTTCCCACTGTATCTGATACTCAACATTAATTCTAGACTTATGTTATTTTCCCACAAGCCCCAGTGATTCTATCCCTTTTGCCTAACCCATTATTTCTTAGTTGCTCATTTTGAATAATATTTAATATTCTATTTTATTATTCAGTGATTCTTCTTTCTGTTTTCAATTTTTCTGTTGAGTGTATCCATGGAGTTTTTATTTTAGATATTGTAATTTTTAAAGTTCTAAAATTTTCTTTTGGTTCTACTTCACAGCCTCTGTTTGGTGAGGTTTCTCATTTGCCTCAAATATATTTGCAAGTGTTCATAGAAGCATTTTTTTTCATGGCCATAGTCTTCTTGTTCATTGTTACAGTTCTTTCTTTTTTTCCCACTCAGTTTGAGGTCTTTCCAGTCTTTTGGGTAATGATTTTTGATTGAAGCCTACATATTTTTTATATATTTTTTTGACTCCAGATCTTGTTAAGATTTCTGGTTCAACTGGTTTTCTCTGACACTGCTCCATTAGAACAAAGGGGAACTGCATTTTTGTTACTTCCAAGTAAATTTTGGAAGTCAGGATTTCCTAGCCTCTCTATTGACTTCCATTTCTCTGTTGGCACCATATTGGAAGTGGTTTTGTTATGTCCATTGTTTAAAAATCCTGATTTACCACTGGGGATTGGGTGTGTGAGGGTCCCTTGTCTATGTAGGGTCAGTAAGTCTGGCTCATTATTGGCTGGGGAGAATGCAAATCGAAATGCAGCTCCCTATGCTTCACTGATACCAGCTTGGCACAAGTGTTGGAATATATCATTCTAGGCTAAAGAGATTGGAAGTCTAAGCTACCCAGTTGAGCTTTGCTGGCCTGGGAGACGGATCGAGGTGGTACCACTTTTTTTTTCCCTGTTGTTTTTTGACTTAAGGTGAAGAGTTGTTAAATAAACTAAATAAATATATGATAAAATAAATAAAAATAAAAGCAGCCTTGATATTGGGAAGACAACTCCCAATCAGATTTCTCCATTCCTGACAGGATGGTATCAAAAGGAAATATAAAAGAGAGATAAAATAGAAGGAGCTCAATTTAAGCCTACATCCTCTATATTAACCCCAGCTTGATACATTTATTTTTTAAATATAGCTATGTATATGACCAGATAAGATGATGTTAAGCAAAATGAACCCCAAGATAGGGACACAAGTGGTTTTTTTCTTGCTTGCTATTGTTTCTAACATATTTATAATGTACCAAGTGATTTTTTGTTTCTTTGTATGTTCCTCCCCCACGGTATAACTGTTTTCACTGTATTTGATGTCCATTCCCTGCATCTTATATATACACTTCTCTAGCTTGGGAAGGGGAAAGGAAAAAACAAAATGCTTAAGTAGGGATACAGGTTGATTCATTGTAACAATGAGATGTACAGACACTATTTTGAAAAAGGATGAGCGGGGAGAGGGGTGAAGGGGGAAAGTGTAGTTGTGGAGGTGGGAGGGAAGGGAGGGTAGGGGAAAAACAAAGGAGGAGGAAAAATGCATGATAGGAAATGTACTCATTATCTTGCTCGTGTAACTGTAACCCCTCTGTACAGTATTTTTACAATAAAAAGGTATTTAAAAATGAAAAAAGTCACTACTGGTGGTGTAAACATTTGAATAGTCTTTTATTGCTGTAAGAAGAATATATTCTAGGAAAACTAACATAACTCTGTTCTTGACCTCTTGTTTTTCACAACTGAAGTAAATCAAGAAAATAGCTGTGAATTTTTAGCTAATTATTTTAGAACAAATTCAAGACAGGCATTGTTGTGGATGCCTTTCATGCCAGCACTTGGCAGTCAGAGGTAGGGTATTATGCATTCAAGGCCAGTCTTGGCTCTAAAGCAATACTTTATTTCAAATATGATACAAATCATAAACATATCATTATTATAAGTATCTAATTTAGCTGTTTACTATATAGGCTGTACCTATATTTTATATTTAATGTGTTGCCAAAGTTGAAGGAGCTCTAAAGTCCAGCTTTCAAAAAATACTATGCTTAGTGTTTATGTTTTAGTATTAATTATAGTTTTAGTTTGGCATAAATTTTTGACAAAGATCTAGGCTTTATAAAGTTTTTTATAAAGGGTTATGTTTATATCCTTAGGTAAAATGGAACTCTGTGTATCTTAGGGTGATCACAAACTTACAAACTTTCTTCTTCAGTCTCTTGAACGCTAAAATTATAGTCATTCACCACTATGTCTATAGGTATTTTGCTATCATTTTCTAAATGTTCTGTGATTGTCTAAGAACTGTACAGTAAATAACTCCCATAGATGAGATCTTTTTTGAGATTGTAATAAATATTATGATTGCTTCCTCTTGTTTGGAAGCTACAGTGATTTTTTTTTTGCTTGCTTATCTTCATTAATTTTAATCATCAAACCCCCCACTTTGTAGATATTAGAAGAGATGAAAATTTCCCAGATGCTCAATGATATCTAAAAAGGAGAGTATAAAATATAGATTTCAGAGAAACAAACCATTTTTTCACCTATCAATATTTAAAAGATGTATATATGAAAATTTTTAATCAGGTGAATGACCCACTTTGCCTTTTAATTTGTGTTATTACTCTTACTAACCTGGTATGTTAAGAATCACTTAGGCCACTTGTTTAAAAGGAGGGTTTCCAAGAGTTATTAATGTGTTTTCTAGAAGTAAGATTTAGGCCTGTTATTGAGCCGACATACGGAGAAAATAGTATGTGAAGAAACACAAAATGTGAACAATAAGTTACTTGATAATATCAAACTCTCGCCAGAGGGCTGCGATGTAGCTCAGTGGCAAAGCACTTACCTAGCAAGTGCAACGTCCTGGGTTCCATCCCCAGTACCAAAAAAGAAAATTTGAAAAAATAAAAACTCTCACCAGAAAGTAAAAACAGAACTAGAAGAACAACTATCTCCTATGATTCTTTCTTCACCAAAATCAGGGATTTTAATCTATGTCTCACCTTATGGAATAAAGCACATTTCCATTTTTGAAAATTCTTAGCAGTTTGTTGTCCGTAGTGACTTCATGAAAGTTGGCACCCTTTTCGTTGGCAAAGAACAAGTCAGGTTTCCAAATGGAGTCCAACATGGATGGGTCAAGATCTAAAGAGTCATCAGGGTATTCGCTGTATGCCAGTCGAGGGTCATTCCATTTCTGACGAAGAAAAATATTCACTCTGTAATCCTGAGGAGGAGAGACGAAGGAAGGGAAGGGATGAAGGGGGAGGAAGGCGAGGGAGGGAGGTGGAAGGGGGAGGAGGGAGAGGAGGAAGAAGAGAAGGAGGAATAAGAAGAGAGAGAGAGAGATTCTCCTTTAGGAAATTTAGAAAACTCCACAGTACCAGTGTATTGCCAGTTCATTATCTCATCAGTGATTGGAACACTCTAAGGGAACATGCAGATAGGACCAGGATGCACATGTGTGGGAAGAAGGGGTGCATGGAAATCTCAGTAGCAGTGTCTCATTTCTACTGTGAATCTGAAACTACTTAAAAAATAAAGTCGTTTAGTTAAGTGCCTGGTTTACACCTGGTTCATACCTTGCTGTTTGGGAAAGCACGATTGTTGTGATTGTCGCTCAAGGCCAGACATGGCAGAAAAAGTTTTGGGAGATTGGGAAACTCATTCTCAACAAAGATCTGGGCATGGCAGCGTGGGCTTTTGGTCCTGGTTGCTGGAAAGCATCAGTGTCATTATTAAGTGTGAAATAGTCATTAACAATAGATTTTCCTTTGCAAGTAATTGGAGAGGAGAGAACCTTCAGGACAATGATCACAATGTATAACCAACTGTGAAAAGACTCCCAGAATTCTTCCTGTTTGAAGAAGTATTAGTCAGAGATCCTGGCTTATTTTAAATGACCAGAAAATATATTGCCTAAGAAAAGAGAAGGATGTTCAGTCACCCTAGGAAGCGTCTTAATGGTTTAGTTTTATGGAATTTTCTTATTCTGAAACATTCTATCTGTATGGGTTCCATGCATCAGAAAGCACACACAGTAATATTTAATGGTGGGGTAATTTCTCTCAACACCATAATATTCCTCGTGTTGCCTGTACCATCTGCTGTAGGAACCTACCACAGGCAGGGTGGTGGTCCCAGACAACTGATGTTGAAATAATGGCCCAGTGCGAAAGTCTCAGTGACTAAACCAATAGAAAAGAAAGCCATTCTCAAAGAGCTCCTTGGAGACTTAGAAAGGTTACTTCAAATTTCTCTTGTCTTCTTCATTACACATGTGTTTATTATCTTTGAAAAGTCTAGAGTTAGTTTGTAAATTACTACAGTTTTTAAAGGAGCATAATTGTATACCAAGTCTGGGAACAAAGAGAGAGGGGGCGGTATTTCTTGGAAGCCAGGCATGGTGGTACATGCCTATGAACACTAAGATAAGAGGATGTTGAGGTATGGTGAGTTTAAGGCCAGCTTGGGCTATGAATTGAGTTCATGATCTGAATCATGAGACTCAGTTTCAAAAGGCCAAGGACTAGCGTTACAACCAAGTGGTGAAGTCCTTGCCTAGCATCTCCCTACATCCCACACAGAAAGAAGTAGTGGCTGGAATGTAAAGTATATATTTTTGCAATGAAACACTACTCTTTATATCTCATTTGGCAAATTTTATGTGAATTAGAAACTAAAAATTAAAGATAGGAGTCAGGAGCAGTGGCTTGTATCTCAGATGTGGAGATTGGCAAGATGAAGGTTCAAGGCCAGCTTGGGGGAAAATAATCAATGAGTCTTCATGTTACCAAAGAAGACTGGCACTGTGGTGCATGTTTGTCATCCCAGTTATGCAAGAAGCATAGGTAGGAGGAATATTAGGCTAAACAAGGCAAAAATGTAAGACCTTATCTGAAAAATAAAAAAGCAAAGAAGTGCTGGCAAACATGGCTCAAATGGTACCATACTTGGCGAATATGAGAGCCTGGATTCAAACTCCAGGACTACCCCATCCAAAAAATAGAATCAAGAAAATTTAAAACAGAGAGTGTTAAAGATGAAATAAAGAACCCTCCAATAAAATAATTTCTGGAGAGATAGTCTTGTACATCAATAAGATAATTTTTAGAGAGAAGATACATAAATACTCTTACAGGATTTAGAGATTTATTTCAAATAATAACGTTTATTCCATTTGGGGATACCTGGCTTTATATGTAGATACCGGCACAGAGCCAGTATTTCTAGAAGCTCATTGTAATATTTTTTTCTAGCAAATTGGTTTCTTTCATAATGTACGCATAGCAGTGATTAACAAGACCTAATTCAGACCTGTGCTCTCTTCTCCTCTCAACTCCTCTGTGTCTGCAAATTGTGTGCCTAATGAGTGGTCTTCATACAACTGGCCTAGCTAATCAGGTGCAAGACATTCTCTTTTATATCATGTAATACCAAAAGAGCTGTAGATGGTGGTGCTGTAGATGGTGGGGGATGGGAAAGGATGGCTCAACTTCCTGTATCCTGTTTTTGTCCACTTTCGTCAGTTCTTAAACTCCTCTTCATCTCACAGTATAACAAATAGGCAGACCATGTTTACATGTTCTGGTTTAGACAACATAATCTTTTTTTTTGGGGGGGGGGGTCCGGTCGTGGGGACTGAACTCTGGGCCTGGGTGCTGTCCCTCAGCTCTTCAGTTCAAGGCTAGCACTCTAACACTTGAGCCACAGCGCCACTTCTGGCTTTTTTCTTTTTGCTTATGTGGTGCTGAGGAATCGAACCCAGGGTCTCGAGCATGCAAGGCAAGCACTACCACTGAGCCACCTTCCCAGCCCCTAGACAACATAATCTGGCACTACTACTTTGCTGTATGATCTGAACTTTGCAATACAAATCTATTCAACACGATGTAAAACAAACACACTTGTCTGATTTTATAGTCGCTAGAAGTTATTCATACAATCACATGTTAAAATGGGCACACTGTAAGATTTATTAATTTGCAATATGCATACTAACAATATGGCAATAATAATCTGCTTATTTTTTGTTTCAGGACTTCTGTTAAGCAGCTATTTTTCCCCTTTCCTTTTTATGATGTCTGGCATCAGTTTCCCAAACTGAAGTATAGTTTGATCTTCAGAACATCATGATCTCCATCAGCTCAACACATGCTCTTCAAATCGTCATTCCAAAACATGTCTTTCCAATTCTGGGAAAAAGTATTTTTGAACAAAGCTGAAAGATAATTTGTACTTTAAAGATATATAATGACATCTGAATCCTATAACTAGTATGCTTTGTTGAATGTCTTATAAAAAAAACTTTTATAGATTATATATTTTCATAAAATTGTGGCATACTAGTGATACTTAATACATAAATAATATTATGTAATAATCACCACATTGCCACCTCACACGGAAATCCTGTGCCAATAAGCAGTTAACTTTCCCCACAGCCATAATGGCTAGCCATAGTGAATCTGCTTCCAGTCTCCATAGTTCTGCCCACTTTGGCTATTTCATACAATATGACATCTTTTGTGTCTGAGACCTTTTGCTTACTGCACTGTTGTATGAAATGTGTAAAGTACCATTAAGAGCATAGAAATTGCCTAATTTATAAAAAACTTGAAGTTTCTTAGTGGAAGAATTTCATTATCAATGTGATATAGCTTCAAGAATATAAGTATTTACAGAATTGAATATTATATATTCAAACATATATATTGTTATATATACATAACTATCACAATGTATAAATACATATGTGTATATATATATCTTTATGTACCTATCCTATCTATCTAACTAATCAATATATAAGTCATAATAAACTTCACTTAACATAAAAGACAAAACAGTAGCTTTTATTAATATGAATAATACTAATTTGCACGCGTTAAATTAGATGCTTTCTTTGGACTTGAAGAAAAATATTAATATTATTCATATGATCAGTTTTAAAATATAAACTGCTGCTTCTGAGAAAAATTAAATGTCTAGAATTTATTCTTATTTACTCTTTGTTACAATATAATAAAATCAGAATTAAAAGCTGAATGTGATAAGTACTAGACACTTTGCTTCTTAGGTAACACCATTCATTTTATTATTTCTATATTTACAGGTATTTGAGGATATGAAAGCCTATTTAAAAGTATTTTTCTGGGAACCGGTTGCTCATGCCTGTAAACCTAGCTATTCAGGAGGCTGAGATCTGAGGATCATGGTTCAAAGCCAGCTTGGGCAGGAAAGTCCATGAGACTCTTATCTCCAATAAATCACTAGAAAACTGGAAGTGGCATTGTATCTCAAGCGGTAGAGCATTTTCCTTGAGCTGAAGAGCTGAGGGATAGTGCCCAAGCCCAGAGTTCAAGCCCCACAACTGACAAAAAAAGTATTTTAGTGTAGGATGTTATCAAAAGAAACATATATATTTAATATGACGAAGGAAACCTAGGTAGTTAATTAAGAGACATAAGCTGTTTTATACAAAGCCTGGAATACAAATGTATAAAATGGAATTATCTATAAAAGAAGTCAGAGAAGCCAGACTTAATCTCTATGTTGACTCTTTTAGGGTCAAATCTTCACAGTTGTCACCTTAAAGCCACTGATCTATTCTTCATCTTTTTGCCATTTTTGCCAAAATGTAATATAAGCTGCATCATATAATAGTTAACCTTATAAATCTGACATAATTATCAGTTTATTCCTCTTAACTACTGAGTAATATTCCCTAGTATGGATATACCATAATGCTTATTCATCCATTGATGGACTGTGGATGCTTTTACAATATTTGATGAGTATGAATAGTCCTATTGTATACATTAGTGTTCAGGTTTTTCAATAAAGTACAAGATTTTACTTCTCTTAAGTAAATATGTATTGTTGCTAAGTCATATTAGATATATATATACACATATATATGCATATACATTTAGATAAAGATGCTAAACTACTAGCTATTAGAGTGGCTATAATTTTCACTGTCTCCAACAATTTGAGAGTTAGAGATCTCATATTAAAAATTTAAGCTATACTAATATGTGTGACATGATAACTCATTATGATGTTAATTCATTTGGTCAATGCCTGATCATGTTCATAAGCCTTTTGTACTTAGTGACATTTTTATATATCTTTAAATGAAGGTTTAAAACCATTTATTCATTTAAATGCATTCTTTAATCTATCATGTAAAATTCCTAATATATATTTTTGGATACATATACT